CATCTCTTCCATCATGAGTTTTGGAAAACTGGCTCAGCTCTGGAAACTGGGCAAGGATTCCTGGTGTTTGTTTTATTTTATTTTATTTTTTTCTGTGTTCTCTCTCAGCCCCTACTCATTCACCTTGCCCTCTGTTGATTTTCTGTTTAGTTGCTAGGGATACCATGTCCTATTAAGCATCTCCATAAGATTTTACAAGTCAGGACCCCTGTATGTATCTGCCATTTTGAGCTTGGTGTTCAACATGATAATGGTGTCGCCCTGGCTTCTGTGGTTAGCATTGCCCCCTGGGCTCTTCTGGGTCTCAACATCATCTACATTGACTCAGCAAACCAAGTTCCATCACAGCATTTCCAGCCAATATGGACTGTATAGGAGAGTCACCACTGAGCTCCTGAGAAGTACTCATGACCTTCTCCGGGTCACCCCCAATAGCCTTGGTAAGTAACGGGTCATTGTGACCTTCCCCAGAGAAACATTCCTCTGATGGGCCATTTTGCCTCACATATCCATCCCAGCATGCCCCCTTCTCTGGGATCTTTCACTCCTTCCTGTTATCTGACCAGCAAATTCAGGCTTTTCAACACTTCTCTCACTTTTCTAGGCTTCTGTGAGCCAGCCCAGAGCAGTGAGTTCACACTGTCTTCTGGTGTTTTTCTCATGGTGTTAAATGCTGTATCTTTAGAGTTGTTCCCAGCTCAAGAAATTCTCCCTTATCTAGTGTTGTAAACCCCGTATCTTTAGTCAAGCACCCCCAGAATCTAGTCCCAAGGCTACTCCTGTGCCCTTCCCAGTGCAGTCCATTTCTTCCCTCACCAGAGCAACACAGCCCCAGCAGGTTAGTTGTGACTTAGCTCTGATTTTAAGCCTAGCAGTCATGACAAGGGATGGGGAAAGCTCCTGTAGGACACCTGTTGCCTTATGGTGGAAAGAACACAGTCTTTCCTTATGGTAGGATAGCAGAAGGGGGCGGGAGTAGTTCTAGCTTAGTGAGGAAGGGTGGGTCTCTTCTTCATGCTCAGCATGTTGAGAAACATTCTGACTCTTAGGAGTCAAAATTGTTTGGGGCATCCCCCCAAATTGTCCCCATGATGGGATTCAGGTCCCGAGGTTTGACTCTGACCTCGATGTCACAGATTGGGCTTGGTTGGACACTGGTAGTGAGCTAGTTTTATCATCAAAATCTGTGCTTGACCTTCAGAATTTTCTGTTCAGTTGCTGTAAGAGATGAGGACTTGACCACAAAGAGAGGGGCTCTTAGTTGTTTTTAAGTTGTTTGTTAATTGACCTAAGCTTTTCAATACCATCTGTAGAACATCCATCCAACTGGGTAATAACCATTCTACTCTATTGCTCTTGTATTTAGTATCCATACTTCCCCCCATATTTGAGACAACAGATTTACCCACCAGTCATGGCACTCCCTTTCACCACTCCATCTAGAATTTTACTAACTAGACAGCTTCTTCATGCCTGGGGCTCTCTGTGCTCACCTTCACTAGGGATGGAGACTCCTAACCAGCCAGTCTCAAAATGTTGTCTTTCTGTGTATGTGAATGAACCACTGATACCAATTGAGCCAATCTGAGACTGAGATGAAGTATAAAGATGTATATTGAAATTGCACCTCTGAAAGGACAAGGAATTGTTGGATGGAGCATTTGAGCTTTTTGTTGAATTGCAATACAGATTGACATAATTTCTACCACCCTGCCAGGAAGCTCTAGAGGAAACTATTTATTAGAGGAGCCCTGGCTTGGACAGAAACAACTATGTCTTGTATCTCCACCTTGGTTGGTCACTGGCTGGAAGTTGGTAGAAAATGGTATGCTGTTGACACCCACTGCTTCTCCCAGTGATAGGCTAGGTGCTCCCCTGGAGATACTGTGTCCTTGTCTTGAAATCTGAGGTGACCCTGAAGATCATAAAAGCTGAAAGCTGGGGCTGGGGTTGTGGCTCAGTGGTAGAGTGCTTGCCTAGCAAATGTGAGGCACTGGGTTCGATCCTCAGCACCACATAAAAATAAATAAATAAAATAAAGATATTGTGTGTTGTGTTCATCTGCAACTTCAAAAAAAAAAGCTGAAGGCTGTATCTGAACCACAGTCCTCACTGCTGGGCAGCTAGTAGTTTTTTTTTTTTTTTTTTTAACCACTCAAGAAAACACAATTTATTTAGCTGGAATATATAGCAAGCTGTTTTCTTGAAGGTAAATCTTGACCAGCTCACTCCATGGGGTTGTCTGCCACTGCTCCAAATCCCAGAAAAGAAATGACCGTTCTTTGGTCACAATAACAAATAAGTACCAGGAATAGTCAGTGACAGCGTGGCATCAGTAACCTCACTTCTAAACCAGGCTTCCGAATCCTGCTAATCAGCAGACGCCTCGCTCTGGTAACCGCACCTCCACAACGACAGCTCAATCAATCCCTGGATGCTTTTGAAAGTCTGTTAATCCCTGGACTCTCTGTTTCCTAAATCCCTGTGTAAAGTCAGCAGCTTTCTTTATCCAGAGAGATGGTGCCCAACAAGCACAGATGTCCTGCTCAGCAACCTGTCTGTGGAGCTTTTCAGCATGGGCACTGAATCCCGCCTCTTGGGTGCTGACCCCTCTACCCAGTATGCTCCCACCTCTGCACCAAGCTTCTATCTTTCACATCTCCAGGGTCTCTTCAGAGAGGCCTTTCCTGACCATCCCATGTGACATCCACCACACCCTACCGAGCCCTACTGCAGCATCCCACTGCCCTAGTTCACTTCTTTCTTTTTCTTTTTGGTACAGTGGATTGACCCAGGGGCACTAACCACTACACCACACCCTCAGGCCTTTTTTGTACCATTTTTGTGGTGCTGGGGATTAAACCCATGGCCTTGTGCAAGCATTCTACCAACTGAGCTATATCCCCAGCCCTCTTTTTTGTACTTTTATGTAGAGACAGGGTCTTGCTGAGTTGCTTAGGGCCTCACTCAGTTGCTGAGACTGGCTTTGAACTCATGATCCTCATGCCTCAGCCTCCTGAGTCAGCTAGGATTACAGGCATGTACCACCACAACCAGCCCCAGTTCACTTCTTGATGGCAAGTGCCACAACTTCAGATCACCTTCTTTGTGTAGAACTGCCCCATCCTCTGGAACACGAGGTCCATGAGAACAGGCCACTTCTGTCGTGTGCACAGTTGTCTCCTCAGTAGGAAGCTGAGCTAAAGCGAAGAGTGAAAGGTGGTCGCTGGAGCTGGGAAACAAGAAGTCACTGACGAAGGATGGGGCAGCATGTTTCCTCAGCACTATATCCCAGCCCCTCATGGGGTGCCCACAATGCAGGCTCCATAAAAACCTAAAGAATGAGTAAATGTCATTTCAGGGAAATGTTTAAGGAGAACAGCCAGAATTTCAGGAAGACAAGTAATGCCTAGGAAAGAGTGGATAAATGCCGTGAGTTTCAAGGAAGCCATTACTTGTCAGAATCTGTGCCTATTTTGAGCAGAGTGATGGGAGCATTTGGGAGAGAGGCACTGCAGGGGAGAGAGGCACTGCAGAGGAGAGGGGAGAGCTCATTGGTGAAGCAAAAATTAGATCAACAGCTCAAATGGAAGGCTGAGCCTTAGAAAAGGGTCTAGACATATATTTCCCATAGGTAAGATAAGGAATAAGATGCAAAAGAAATGTTAACATAAGGGCTATTTCATGACCAGCCACATGATTAAAATAACAATTCATTGCTATGAGAAATACTTTCTAGGCTGATTAATTTATGGCTGAAAAAAAGTCTTAGTTTTAAGGAGGAAGAGGGGGAAAATGGGATACTTTGAACTCAAATGGTATAAAATCAAGTTTTTCTTGAACATGTTTTAGATTACAACTGAATATTGGTTATCAGAAATATGCTTCTCTCATTTAAGTGAAATTTATTGCATGTGTGACACATGTTTTGTATAGGACTATAGGTTGAACTTTAGAAATATTTGCCTCATAACAGTAGAGGTTAGTACTGTGGACATTCATCAGTAGAAGAGCTAACAGACATCTTCTAGTAAGTGATGGTAAATGTGCTATAAAAGAATCTTAATTTCTTTCTGGCAAGCATAAATGTGCAAGGAATCAATAAATTTAATATGCAACTCAAGGAAATATATTCAGAAAATAATTGCCTAGAATTTTAAAATTTATATCCATAATAATTTCCAAGCCAGAAATCTAGCTTGGTTTTTTTTTCTATCAAATATTACAATCTCAAAGGTATCGCTGAGATCATAATCACATGAATTATTTCTATGCAGGAAGAACACTACCACACAGTTTTCCTGTGGGGCTTAGAAGGCAAGAGCACGGAGTTAGAAGCCAGACTGCCTGGGCTCACATCAGCCTCTGCCCTTACAGTGTAGTCTACGGCAAGTTACCTAACAGCTCTGTGTCTCAGTTTCTCATCTGATCAAATGGGGATGATCAAATGTGGGTTGTTCTGAGGGTCGAATGTGATAATTCAGGTGCTACACTAAGAATAGCACATCTAGAAGGCAACGTATAAACACTGGCTATGGAAATCATTAACTATAAGGATGTTGGTCTACTGCATCTGGATTAGGGAGACTAATTTTAAAAGATAATGTTAGGGTTGAAAGGACCTGAGGCATCACCAGGCCCATTCAACCCTCTGGATACTCACATCTCCTATGTAAGCAATCGTCTCCTGAGAAGTGACTGTGTGTCCGTCCTGTGCTTAAGCAGGCAATGACAGAAGCAGTACCACTCGTGGGCAGCTGTGATTGTTGGAAAATACTGAGCTCCAGCCTGCTTTTCTCCCCCACTCCTAAAGCCACCATCCCCAGGAGCCCACAGCAGAGCTACAGCCCTTTCCACAACTGGCTTCCAGGGACCAAATGTGACTTTATCTTCCCTAGGACAAGTGTTTTCCAGCACCATTAGACAAGGACCTCTATCTGCATTTTACAAATCATTTTGTAACTGTGGAAATATGACATGAAACAATCTAAGAACTCAAGTGAATTCTTAAATTATATGTCTGTGTTTATTTCTTTAATAAGTATTTATTTATTTGACAATGCTAAGGATTGAACCCAGGGCCTCATGGTTGCTAGGTGAGCTCTCTAACACTGAGCTACATATCCAGCACAAAACATGCCTTTATGGGATGTCATACAAGATAGGAAGTCCCTAGCTTCATAAACATATTCTCTGTCACTGAATATAATCAACACTTTTGGGTAAGAGCTTTCTTGTGCAGGGGGCATTGGCAGAGGCTCAACAGAGATTGTAACAATGGCAGCTGCAAAAGACAATTTATTTTTGTGTCCAACTGACTCTCGCTGGGCCTCCAGGCCTGCTGGCCTCATAGCTCCACACAGGATAAATCTTGAATGTCTTTACTGATATTATCTGGAAGGAAGAACATCCATGGACTCAAATCCAAGCAGAAGAAGGCAACATAATTGTGATATTGTGAACAAGACAGAAGTTTGTGACCCATTTACATTTACAGACTTTGTCCCCTGTTATCTGAATATCTAAACAAAGCTTCAAGCATTAAGAAGGCACATTGGAAATAAGCTCAATTCATAGTGATACTCTCAAGTTAGAAGATACCGCACATAGCTTTACTTCTAGGAGGGGTTGATGTCTGCAATTAGAGCAAAGGCGTGCCCCAGGCAATGAACTTCCTTTCACTTTCTCATTCAAGTTCTTTGGAGGGTTCACTCTTCTGTATCAACCACACTTCATTGTTTCTGTTGAGCAATTTGAAAGGACTGTTGTAGCCCGCGGTATAGAAAACCTTTTCATCAAAAACTTTCCCTTCTTCCCTCAAAATGCTTGCTAATGTCAAAAGCTGTTCTTGATTCTTCTGGGCACTAGAGAATCCATCGAAAGACCTACAAAGGAGAAAATAAATAAGCATGAGTGATTTCCTTACTGACACTAGAAGAGCAGGAGCTGGTACCCCAACACTGGATTCGGTGCAGCTTCCTACCACTATGCTGACCCTTCTGGTCCCACAGCTCCCAGTCCCATGTGACCTCGAACTCACTGAGGAGAACCAGGAGGACACCTAGGTCCCATGTGCTGACAGGCAGATTTGGAACTTACAAGATCTCATATTCTCAAACCTGTGCTCCTCAAACTTCACTGGGCATAAGAATTATTCTGGGATCTATTAGAAATACATTCAGGAGATCTGCGGAAGGGCTTTAGAATGTATGTCTAGCAATTTCCCAGATATGTGCTGATGCTCCTGGACACAGAACCACACTGAAATCCCTTTAGATACCCTCTTTCCGTTTCTTTCCCCTTTTTTAAATTTCTTTCTTCCTTCCCCTCCCTTCCTCCCTCCCTCCCTCCTTCCCTTCCTCCCTCCCTCCCTCCCTCCCTTCCTTTCTCTTTTCTCTTACTCTTTTCCTTTCCTCCCTTCTCTCCCCTCTACCCCCAGGGTCTTACTATGTTATCCCGGCTGTTCTCAAATTCTAGGATTCAAATGATTCTCCTGCCTCAGACTCCCAAGTACCTGGGACAAGAGGCACATGTGACTATGCCCAGATCAGAATGTCAGTTTTCCATTGAACAATTTCCCTGTTTTTCTCCTTTGGGCAAAAAGTAGGCACTGGGTTACAGATGAATATAATTAGTTTAGATCTCTACACATTTATACTCTAACGAAAGAGACCAACATTTATTTGGGCAGCTCTATGTACCCCAAGTAGAGGTAACAGTGGCAGAATCAAAGTTCTACAGGAGCACTGAAGATATGATTAAATTCAGGGTAAGGGGTCTCATCTAAGACCAGAAATGGAGGATGAATAAAGAAAGGGAAGGGATAAATGAGGGATATAAAGAGTACAACACATTTTCATAGTGAGGCATAAAATAAAATCTGAGAGGTGAGTGGAAGCCAGAAGGAAGAACCTTAGTCTAAGGCCTTTTGAGGTTACTGAAAAAGATGTTGAGCAGACAATAACCTGGTCAGATTGGGGTAAGGATAACAAGCAGAGAGATGAACATAGATTGGAGGGGAAGAGCTAGGAGACTGCTATAAAAACAGGGAAGAAAAGATTTAAATAAAATGAGGAAAAGAGTAAAAGTTGAAATATAAATTTTAAAGTATGTAAACAAAAACATTCTGAGATTATATCATGACCTGGCTGAGCTGCTCACTTATGAGTACAATGAATTTGACTTTGAAGGTTAAGAATAAGAAACACAAAACTATTCCTAATTTTTTTTGGTATAAGTTTCATAATCAATGGGCCAATGAAAAAAATCAGTCCTAACATGAATCATACAAGATTCAGGATCCAAAGAACACAAACTATGTTGATTTTATTCAACAGTTTCTTTCCTGTGCCTGAAATCATTCCTTTTAAATCCACATTGAATAAATGTAAGCATCTCTGTATTCATGTGAAGACAAAGTGAGCTGCCGCAGGAGAGCTGATTCAACTCTGCTTTGTACACAGAATACAATTCTGAGCCTTGTGTTAAGTAACATTTTGGATCCAATATTATTTATTTTTTTAATGAACAGTCAATACTATGTTCAGCCTACAGGAAATTTGTTTTCATATTCCACTTTTTCCTTAAATAGGAATCTTGAAGACACTAATTAGAAGTCGTCTTGTGTTTTCTGAACAGTTGTTCTACAACGATCTATCTGCTGCTTTATTCTGTACACATACCTTGTACCCCCAGCCCCAAACACCAATCCTACTAGGAGCTGGAGCATATGGACATGGGGACAAGCTGTCATACTCTTAAGGAGTTTATAAGTAAGTCATTATAACAGAGAAGAATAACAATAGGAGGAAGGGCATTCACAGGGTGAATTCCAGGTTCAGCTCAATGGGCCAAAGGACACAGCCCTTTGTAGAGATAGGCACTGCAGGCCAGAGAAGGGGATTAGGGAATGCTTATTTTTAGAGCTGCTTGGTTTGCTCCCTCAACTTCTATCCCCAAATAGAGATGTAACAGGTAGGGAAGCCAGAACTGGAGACAGTCACTAGATATGAGAGTCCTTAGACACGGGGAATTGAAGCAATGTGAGAGGACCACCTGCAGCAAGTGTGCTATGAAGATCATCAATGGGCATCAGCAGTGACTCAGAGATGGGGGACCAAGGAGGAGCCCATTGAAGCAAAGAAACAGGAAAGGAATGGTTAGAGAGCACATTGTTAAAGGATAAACAAATATTCAGGAAACAACCTGGTCAATACATGGACGCTATGGGGGTCACAGGGAAGAGGACATAATCGTGTGACAAATGTATTGCTGAAGATGGCAAGAGCAGTTTCCAAGGAGACAGTGGGAGCTGCATCAGACTGTGATGGTTCTGATGAAGCCCCAGATGGAAATAAGGAACATGTTTTTGGAACCTGAAAGAGAACTGAACCTTGTTATAATGTAGCAAAGAGCTCAGCTGAACTCTGTTCATATCCTAATGTTATATGAAAGAGCTTAGAAGCGATGAAATAGGATCATTGGGTGAAAGTTTTTCTGAGCAAATGAAGATGTGGCTTGGTCTCTACTGAATTCCTACGGCACAATACCAGAAAGGAGAAACAATTTAAAGACAGAATTTTCTTTTTCCTTTGGTACTAGAGATTGAACCCAGGGGCACTTAATCACACGGAGCCACATCCCCAGATCTTTTTTGTATTTTATTAAAGACAGGGTCTCACTGAGTTGCTTAGGGCCTCACTAAGTTACTGAGGCTGGCTTTGAACTCTTGATCCTCCTACTTCAGCCTCTTAAGCTGCTGGGATTACAGACATAAACCACTGTGCTCAGAATCTAAATTTTCAGATAATTGTTAGCCTATCCATATTGAAAGAAATGAAAAAGCTTGCACAGGAGAGAAGAATAAAGCCAAGCAATGCTTTGAAAAGGAAATTATTTTGGCATGGTCATCCATACTGGAGCCAGGACATATTCTCTAAGAGTGGCTCCAAAGGCATTTCAGAGGTTAACCAGGGGGGTTTCCTGTCCCATCCCAGGCTCAGAATATCAACACATGGGAGAAGACCCATTTCAAAGGAGGGGCTTCCGACCCTTTAGGACCTTGGAGCTCAACGCCTAGCACCACCTCAAGGTTCTACTCCCTGCTTTCCAAAGTGACACTCCTTGACCACTCCAGGTTCAGCTCAATGGGCCAACGTGTGACACAGGCCAGGATGTCTGGCCCTCGGGAGGGCACAGGTGATAGATCTTAGCAGCATCCAAACAGTGCCATCTCTGCTAATGTATGGAGTACACAGGCCAAGGGAGTATGCCACTTCCACTTGGATCCTGAAGGATGGAACTACCCAGAGCCTCAGGTACATGAACCAGACAGAGGGCCACAGCAAGGATAGGGCCACCACAGAGAGTCACCTATAGGGCAATTCCTAATGGAACTGTAGGAGCAGGGCACACCAGATTGGTAGAGCTACTATTGTGCAATTCCAGCCTGGAAGAGCTGCAGGTAGCTGACCACAACTCATGACAGTGGCATCAGGGGGTAGGGTCACCCAAAGTTATAGTGTAGGGCTACTTGAAGCACTGGGAACCCACTCCTGTCCAGCAAAGCTTCAGAGGCATGACCTCCACTCCAGGAGGCCTGGAGGGCAGAGTCTTGAATTAAAAGAAGATTAATCCTACACCTTAAGATTTGGGTCTCTGTTGAGACCTCTTATTCATTTCTTCTTCCCTATTTTTCCCTTTTGGAATGTGAGTGTCTATCTTATGACTGCCCCACTGCTGTATTTTGGAAGCAGAGAACGTTTGATTTCACAGGCTCACAAATGGAGAGAATTTGCCTCAGGATGATTCATACTTGAGTCTCACCCAGATTTGATTTAAAGGATATTTAGATTAGTCTTTTGAGTTGATGTTGAAATGAGTTAAGACTCTGGGCATTACTGGGATGGAATTTATACTATTTTTTTTTTTTTTTTGTACCAGGGTATTTAACCAGTGAGCAACACTGATAGCCCCTTAATTTTTTTTTTTTTTATTTAATGTTTTGAGACAGGGTCTTGCTGACTTGCTTAGGGCCTCATTAATTTTCTGAAGCTAGCTTTGAACTTTCGATCCTCCTGTTTCAGCCTCCTGAGCTGCTGGGATTACAGGCATGTGCCACCACACCACAGCTGAAATCAATGCATTTCGTATGAGAGGAGGACATGAACTTTGTGTGACCAGAGTTGGAAAGCTGTGGCCTGAATGTTTGTGTCCTTCCAAAATTCACATGTTGAAATTTTAACCACCAATGTGATGACATTAGGCGGCAGGACTTTGGAAGATGATTAAGTCATGACGGTAAAGCCTTATGAATGGGATTAGTGCCCTTAAAATAGGGTCCTAAAGGAGTTTATTTACTCCTTCTACCATGTGAGAACGAAGCAAGAGGTCCAATGTATGAACCAACAAATAATCCCTCACCAGTCACTGGAACTAGCAGTGCCATAAACTTGAACTTCCCAGCCTCCAGAGCTGGGAAATTTCTGTTTCTTATAAGTTACCCAGTATATGGTATTTTGTCATAGCACCCCTAATTACTAAGATAGGTATCATGTACTGTTTTCTAAGGTATTTTTGTTCAGGTTTACCTGGATTGCAGGTAAGAGCAGCCTTATGTTTGGGGTGATATGGTTTATACTGTGTTTTATATGTGGAAGTCTGCAGTAGACTTCTCATTAAATGAATTGATATATCTTGCAACAGACTTTATTAATATTTAAAACGGGGCTAGTTGGAAAACTTCATGAAGCACGTTAGGCCTGTTTTTATGAAAGAGTGAAAAGCTTGTTGGAATTGCGCAGGAGCTAAACAGCTAGAGTGTGCAAGTAAAATTAGCAGACAGCAGGGCTGTAAATTATCTACCACTTACCGCACAAACACAGTCATTTCAGCTCTGTCTTCAATGAAGACATCTGACTCTGAAGGCCGTGGTGGATCAGATTGCTGTTCCGAGGGGATGTATAGGGAGATGGTAATGGTAGATTCACTAAAAGGACCGGAGCCAGGCTCTACGAAGCTTGTCACTGGAGCTGTCATCTTTATTTTCATCTCTGTGCCATAAAAATGAAAATTAAATCTAGTGGACATGTGACTGCTTTTAAAATTTAACCTATTCTTTAACTGAGTTTCTTAATTTACTTTATAATTCTGATATAAATATTTACCTTCAAGATAATTTGCCTCTTTTTAAAAAAGGCCAAAAAGACTCAATTATTCAGGGTTCACATTAAACCTTTCTGTACTATTGATAATTTTGGTTAATAAATTCTGTACTTTCAGAGATATAAGGGGAATGTGGAGATAACATGGTCTAGTTAATCCTGTTTTCTTTACAGTTCAGAAAATGAGATCCGATAAGCTAAGAGACCTGCCTAAAAATATACATATTTATTTTGGCCAGAGACAAAAGTTATGACTTAAGACTTGAGCCTCTTAATCCACCATCTTCCTGTCCCCTGATATATATTTTTCTGTATCAGTCACCAAATTATCCTGAAGCATTAGCCCTGGGAAAGGACTTCTCACTAGTTATGCAGAGCCACAGACAGTTCACCCAAAAAGACAAGGAGAAAGGTTGAAAAGTACTACCCAGAGGTACCCTCCTCTAGCCCATGCAAAGGTACTCCAGGAGCATCCTCTGTGAAAAGATCAAGTCTTTGATGGTGTGAGTATTTCTATTATAAAGGATATTTCTGTAAAAAGCTAAAACTCTTACTTAGCCCCAGGTCTCAATCATCACATGCACACTAAGGTACAATTGCTCTTACCTTTCTCGTTTTTGCCTTGAATGTAGCTGTTCAGTTTTGTGAAGCCAGTCTGGATGGCTGAATCCCAGTCCTTAGATTCAACACTAGTGCTGACCCACTTGGCTGGCCCATAGTGTCGGGTCTCATAACTTCCGGCCTAAGGGAAGAGGAAACTTCCAAAGCAATTCCAAGACAGTAGGACATGAGATGCCACAATTCAGGTATCTTGGTCTTTAGTCTTCCTGGAGCCGTCTTGCCTAGGTGTTGCTGGGCCCTAAGGTCCTGGCTCTTTAGGGCCAGGCCTAGCCTCACCCGGAGGTGTCCCTCTTTTGTGTTAGGGTTGGCGACAGCCCCAGCTCCACAGGCCCTGAACCTCAATTCAAGTTCAAAGAAACAGGCATCCATGAGCCTGAAGGTCCCACAGACGGCTTTGGGTCCTAAGCAGTTGCCCCCTACTCCCAGGCCCCAGACAAGAAGCGAAGGTGTGGCCTGCACCCAGGGACACAGCTAAATGACTGAAGTTCTCCTGTTTTAGGAACAGGGTCGCAAGTTGGGACTAGGACCATCCCTAGAAAGGGTATTTTTTACTTAACCCCACGGGACCTTCAGGTCTCACTGCAAACCAGCCCGAGGGCAACCCGACTGGCCGGGATTCCCTCCCGAAAGGCACCTACCTGCGAGCCCGCGTCGTCCGGGGCCTTCCAGTCCGGCGTCTCCACCGCCTGCTCCTCCGCGACCTCGGCTGTCCCCAGGTCTGGCTCGAGAACCTCGGCCATGGGCGGCGCCGATACTGGGAGAGAGCAGGTCCAGCTGCTCCCCAGGGCCCCTGTCCCCGTGCTGCAGACGCGCGGCCTCCTGCCCGCAATGCGGAAGCGGGAGCCCGCTGGACACGCTCTGGTCTGGGCCGCGAGGGGGCGCCGCGACCGCCAGGGGTCCCCGGTGTAGACCCGGACAGCTCGGGCCCGGGCCACGCCCCCTGCCCGGTTCCGTGCCCAGTGGGCAGGGAGCCGAGCCCGGAGACTGGACGGCAGGGCCCGCTTCTCCCGGCCTCCTCTGGGGGCCCCCTCTGGTCACCGCCCTTGTTTTGGAGAGAGGCTGTGCGCTGTGAGCAGCCGAGGGTGGAGGACCGAGCTGCTGCTGGCGCGCCTTCTGTGTGACCGGTCGGGTCACTTCCCACGTCGCCAGCCCGCGCTGGCGGCCGCCTGACTCCGGGTTCCACTGCGCCGTCCGCGCACGGAGAAAGGGACCTGGAACTTCTGCAGACTCTTGACCTCGCTGCCCCGCCCGCAGTCCTGCCGACGAGCGCCCCACCCTTGGGCTGGATCCCGCGGCCCAGCCAGGGGCGAGCGGCCCTACTCCCACCTAGAGGACTGCCTAGGTTCCTTTCTAAGTGGATCTTGAACTTTCCGGGTCCCTTGCCCTTTCTAAGAAAGGACCCCAAACTATCCGAGTCATCTCGCCAGGATCAGGGATGCCGGGAGGCAGACTCTAGTTTTTTGAGAAATTTTGGTTAGAAGTCTTATTTTTTCCAAGAGATTTATTGAGCTAATTCATATGTTATACAATTCACTTCTTTAAAGTGTATTAATAAATGGTTTTTAGTATTATTCGCAGGGCTATGCAACGATCACAGTGTTAGAACATTTCCATCAACCCCCTTGGCGACAGCCCATATCTTTAGCCACCTCTATTCCCCAGGCTCCAGCCCCAGGCAACTATTAATTTGCTCTGTCTTATAGGACATTTTGTATGAATGGAATTATAGCAATATGTGGTCTTTGTGACTAACTTTCTTCACCTAAAATGTTATCAAATTTCATCCATGTTGTAGCATGCCTCACCTTTTTTATGATTGAATAATATGACACTGTATAAACATTTTGTTTATTCTTTAGTTGGTAACATTCGGGTTATTTCAAGCTTTTGGCTATTATGAATAATGCTGCTATAAACTTTTCTGTAGAGGTTTCTCTGTGGACATGTTTTCATTTCTCTTGGGTGCACACCCAGGATTTGAATTGCTGAGTCAAATGGTTACTTTGTATTTAACCCTTTTGGACACTGCCAGACTGGTTTTTCATCATTTTACATTCTCACCAGTAGGGTATGAGCCTTGTTTCCCCAGATCCTCTCTAACACTTATTATTATTTTGGTTTTTTGATTATAATCATTCTGTAGGTGTGCCTATTGCTTTAAATTTTTTTCTTTTTTTAAATTTTTGAGATATAATTTACCTTACAAGATGGGCTAGATGGTGCATGCCTATAATCCCAGGCACATCACTGGGAGGATGAAGCAGAAGGATGAAAAGTTCCAGGCCAGTTTCAGCAACTTAGCAAAACCCTGTCTCAAAATAAAATAAAAAGGCCTGGGGTTGTAGCTCAAAGGTAGAGCATCCCTGGGTTTAATCCCCAGGACCACCACCACTAATAATAATTTATATGACATAAAATTCACTATTTAAAAATAGGCAATTCAGTTTTCAGCAAACTCACTATGTTGTACAACCATCACCACTATCAGGCAGCCAAAATTCCTATGTGGAGGGTATTTTACTCAGGTATGTAACCAGTTCCTCCTTACCCATCATGCCCCTGCAATGAATCTAGAATATTCATTAAAACAAAAAAATCCCATACAGCTGGGCAGTTGCTCTCCATCTCTCCTCCCATCCAAACTCCAGTATCCACCACTCTACTTTCTGTCTCTATAGTTCTGACTAATCTGTACATTTCATATAAATGGAATCATATAATATGTAATATTTTGTGACCAACTTCTTAGTGAAAAAAGTAGTGTTTTCAAGATTGACACATACTATACCTGTACCACTACTTTAGTCCTTCTTAGTGCTGGAAAATGTCCCATTATGTGGGCCATGTGTGTGTGTGGCGGGGAGGGGTACTGGGGTTGAACCCAGGACCTCACACTTGTTAGGCAAGTTCTGCGCCACAAAGCTACAGCCCTAGTCTTGGAAGAGTGCTATTAAAACAATTGATGTCCTTCCTCTCTTTTCCTTGCCCTTCCCTGCCCAAACAACTGTCTGGTGGCCTAGGAACACATGACACTTTCTAGTGGTTATATCAAATCTATCATTATGCAGAGCCAAGCTTGAATTATTTAGTGAAGCCTCAATAATAAATTTTGACTTATTTTAAAAATAGTCTGTCTATTTTTAATTATGTAACAGATGTGATCCATTGCTTAGGTGACTTTGCAATGTTGAGAAATTGAGAATGTAATTATACTTTATTGTAGGATTTTTTAAGAGAAAAAGGAAGTAATTTATAATTATTGGTTAAGAAGTTTGATTTTCTTTTAATCTGAAGACTATCTTTTATAGTTATTTGTATCGTTTTTTAGGCAAGAACATTGTATTTGTAGAAAAACAGGCTAATTTTGGAGACATTTTTAAAAATAGATGTGGGATATACAATTAATGAAGATAACAGCAAATATCTGATTAAATATCTAACGGTGGTAATTAGTCACCTAAAAAGAACAGAAGAAGGAAAGAAAGGAATTTATTTCAAATTAATGGGGTTTTGTTAGAATAAATTAAACAAAATATAGAAGGTTCAAGTTTCATATCCCTATTTCAAATAATTGAGTTAGGTTTCTTGTGGCTAGATTATGGTTAAATTGTTCTGTTAACTCATATATAACTCATGTTTACGTGACACTATGAAGCTGATATTATACTTCCGCTTTACAAAAATTTAGAGACGAGTTCTATTTTCAAAGTTCATCAAGTAGAGGCTGAGGGTGGGGAGTTGCCCAATTACCTAAATACTTCTTTTTTACTTTTTTTTTCAGTAATTCACATGGACAATTAATAGACAACATTTTAGGAATAGATATTAAATGGCTGTGTTAAGGGCTGGGATTGTAGCTCAGTGACAGAGCACTAGCCTAGCACATGTGAGGTACTGGGTTTGATCCTCAGCACCACATAAAAATAAACAAATAAAGTCATGCTATCCATCTACAACTTCAAAAAGTTTTAAAAAAATGGCTGTGTTAGTCAGAAAAGACCAAGTTATACTATGGAACCAACCTGAAATCTCATTGGCTGTAAGCAACAGCTCCTGCCAAAAAAAATCCTTTTTGTCCTTTATCCTTTAAGTCTTCAGAGTCCTCAGAGGGTCTGATGGATTCTACAGGACAGCCCTTTTCAGGTGATGCAGCATGGCACTTTATGACAATGGAGTCCCTGTGGTCGCTGCAGCTGGAAAAAGAGCACCCAGGTATCTTTCAGCAGCCATTACCGATGCTCCTTATTCCACACTGAAAGCACTGAATCAGTGAATCCAGAAATGTTGCTTTTAAGGGAGATATAGACTTAAGAGTCCTGTGAACCTCTGGTGGTGATATTTTTATTAACTAATATAGACACAATTTATGTGTGTTTCTGTACAAAGATGTCTTATTTAACATATGTTGTTGATTCACTGCCATTGAACCCATATCCAACGTTGTAACTCGTGCCTGAATGAAGCTTATCTAACACAAAACATTTGTGTTGGCCAGTGCATGGATTTCCAGGTAGAGTCACAAGACGCAGAGGCCTGTCTCCTTATTTGGCTCTCATACTCTAAACAATGTCCATTTTCACAGTCAAATTAGTGCCACATTTTTCTCATTCTTGTGCTTTTTGTTGGTGATCTCACTGCTTAACATCATCCCCAGGTGCAGTGCCAAAGTGTTGCCCAGTGTTCCTAAAGTGCAAGAAAGCTTTGTTTTGCTGCTGCTGTGTGTGTCTTTGAGTGACAGAAAGTTCTCTGAGTATTGATTGTGGAGCTACAAATATATTTAGTAAGTACACAAGTTTACAGATACAGAATCTGTGAATAATGAGGATCAACTATAAAATGCTCTTGCAATAAGTTCTGTAAGTTGCTCCCAACCATATTTTATTGGCCAAGGCAAATCCCCCAGCCCTGACTAGCCTCAAGGGAATGTGGAAGTTCTCAAAGGAGAATTCAAAATACTTGAGAAAGCAGTTTATAATATCATTAGTCACTCATTGATTCTTTTTTCCATACTTGTGGAAGATTTTATTTCCCAAAGACGACTGCAGTGTTATTTCCCATCCAGTGCATTGTTTTTAAAACAGGACTTTGACATGTCTCCTGCTGACAGGTGGAGGTCTGTGTTCTGTTTCTTTATAACTGGCTCACGGTGATGGTGGAAGTAATATTGGGTGACTTCTTTCTGAGGCTAGATTATTAAAGGCCTTCACCAGGTCTCTTTGGAATCCAAGAGCCTGCTAAAGGGAAGACATGTAGCTCCATGGAAGACACGTGTGGGTTCCTCGCTGAGGTCCCCAAGCACAGCTGGCATCAGCCGTCACACCTGTGAGTGAGCACCTTTTCAAATGACTCCAGCCTCCTGCCATTGAGTCACCTCCAGACCTCCTGAGTCTTCTTAGCTGAGGCTCAGAGATCATGAGCAGATACAAGCTGTCCCTGCAGTACCCTTGCAATCTGTGAAGGTAAGATAGATAATCATTTTTTTTAATGACACAAAGTTTAGGGTGATTTGTTTTTTAGAAATAGTAACTCAAAGAGTATTTACTCTGGCAAGGACTGTACTAGGTGTTGGGGGATTATTATAGCAATTAATAAAATTTGATCCTGAATTAGAACCATATATATATATATATATATATATATATATATATATATATATATATATATATATAAATTTGGTCCTGACCTTTACATGTCTTACTGTCAAGTCATCTTTTATTCTGGGGCCATTCTTGCACCCACATTATAATTACCAATTTTATGGTTTCAGCTGTCTCAAATATGATAACTGTAGATTGCTATTCTAACATGAAATATAATAGTTTCTTTTGGTTGGCTTCTCCTTTAGTTTTGATGAGAAATATAATTCTCATCTATTATTTAGACCCCAAACAACCCAGGAAGCCCCTTTTTACACTGAGCATGTTGCTCAGTGCCTGATAGATCCGTAATTGCTTGATAAATGTTGAATGAATGCCCATCATAGAATTTACCAGACACGTGGATAGTGATTGAGTGTTTTTAGGAGCACCTGTGAACAAA